AAGCAATCCCATAATTGCTATTGAGAGAATTCGTTGAATGTTTTCGACGCAACTTGCTAGTGAAATTTCGTCAAACACTTAGTGGGCACTAAAATGACATGTACTAAACATTCGAATGATCATCAGAAGAATTTCACATGTATATTTCTCAACTTTGAATGATCTTAAAATCATCTTGATCCCAATGTACATCCGCAACTGCATACATGATACATCTAACCTAATCTACTTTATCAAACTCGACCCTTAACATATATTCAAAAGTGTATATATTATATTATATACACATATTTGGACTTTGGAGGAAAACTGAGAAGGGGTACGCGAATAATGTTCCTGGACGTGCATTAATTGGCGGCACAATTTTCGTGGCCGGTGAGATCCTAAATCTTGATCATTCAACAGTACTCAAAGAGAAACTATTATGTTTCTGCAATATGACACATGGTTTTGGTTTATAAGTTATTGTTTTGATTTGCTAAATAATATGAATATTAATCGACTATGCTTATCATAAGAGCTATACCTTTTCCAATGTTCATAAAAAGATAAGATTACTTGTAGAATGTCTATATAGTGTCAATAGAATGAGAATTCATTCCTTTCTAGACAATTTTCTAGAAAAGATACAATGCGATGAATGTCTATAGAATGAGAATTCATTCCTCTCTAGACAGTTTTCTGGAAAAGATACAATATGATGAATGTCTATAGAATGAGAATTCATTCCTCTAGACTCAATCTTTCAACGTCAAAAAAAAAAAATTTCTTATTTCATGTTGTATAGTATTAGTAAATAGATTCACACATTACAATGAGAGATGATTGGTAATACCACGTGTTATTATAACAATATCGATGTGATGTCGTCTAATATTATTATAACAGGTGAAATCATACACTATGTGACTTGACCCTATAAAAATTTCTTAAAAGTACAAAGGAGAGTTTTATTAAATTAAAAAAAAATGAAAATTTAACGAAAAACTTCCGGTACCGTTCACTTTAACGAAAAATCACATTTTTGCACTAAAAAGTCAATCATGATACTATTCACTTTACCCTTTACTTTGTCCTTATCGTTAAAACTCAAAGTTTTCAAGCCATTTTTATTAGTTTTCCTTAAAAAAAAAAGATGAGGGAATGCACATATCTCGCCCCTTACTAATAACTTATCTTCACAGTTTAAATTTCATAATCATAACCATTAAATAATCAAGATCATTCATTCAAAATATATTTGAATAAGAGATCGTTTAGTTATCCGAATGTATAAAAAAAAATGAACAGTTAAACATGAATATGTTACTTGGTATTCACACCATCAATTTGTTCCAAAGGTTTGGGTGGAGATTTAAATGATTTTTTGTAGAGATGATCTTTTACATGAAAATTAAGAAATTGAATGCTTCCGCGTGTGAAATTTATACGGTGAATATTCGTTATTTGTAAGAAGTGAGATGTGCATTCCCCATGGAAAAATGCAAGTATATTCCAATAAAAAAAGAATTAAAAGAAAAAAAAAACTCACTACATTGGGCCATTATTGAAGCAGGTAATGGGCCGTGCACTCTTTTGGTTGTATGATCCCCATTTCCATGGGCTTGTTGGCTGACTTTGCAAACACGATCATAGTTCGAAAGTGCAAATAAACCAGACAAATATGACCAATTCGATCGTCAAAGTTGTAACTATGATATCTCAGAGAGAGTTGCACTGAAACACTTTATGTAATTTAAATAAACAAAATTAACAAACTGAATAAAACTTTTCAGAATGCTGTGTTTGGTAAAACTTAATGTTTGGAGGAATTGATTATGGGTCAAAATTTTTAGAATACTACCATGTAAAACTTGCATTGCAATAAAACATGGCTTATGCAGCGACAGTCACTCATCACATAAATATGTAAACTTGTAAACTCAAAATCCTAAGCCAATTTATAGCTCTTGATAAAAATCAGAGTACACAGAACATACGAACAAATGGATTAACAAACCATGAATAATTCTTAACTAAATAAAACAAAGAAACATTACAAAATTGTCAAGAAGGCCACATAACCCGAAGTGACTATATCTTGTTAGACTTACATCCTCCACAGTTACAAAACATCCTATTTATACATAACTAAATCCTAATCCTAATCGGCAAGGAATCCAAATCCTTATTATGCAAGATAACCTTAGGACATAAAATACCCAAAAAACAACATAATAATAAGCCAAGCAGGGGTTCATTTGGAAGTGCTTTTAAATTATTGAAACTGCTTTTTAGAAAGAAAAAAAAAACGTTTTGGTTTCCAAAACACTTGAAGTTCTTATAAGAAGTACCAATTATGTGTTTTTTGCAAGAAACACACTTCAAGTGATTTTTCAGAATTCACTTGTATTTTTACTAAAGATTAGTTCCAAAAATACTTTCAATCATTTTAAAAACACTTCCAAAGTATGGCACCCTAACTTTTCCAACACCTGAATGTGAAGGAAATGGTGGGATTAAACTGAAATTGGGGCACCCTTCACATTCATGGAGTTTGACCAAAAAAGAGAGAGAATGGATGAGTCCATTTTCTTTGAGAGTCAAATGGTTGATCATGAGAGACCTGGTGCGTGGCATTTCGGGGCCTTGCTTCCAACAATTAAGCCCCAGTTTGGTAGTGATGTGCTTTAAAAAAAAGCTAGGGTGAAAAAAAGCTAGAGGGATTTGAGGTGTTTGGTAAATTTTCCAAAAGCAGCTTTGTTTTAAAGCTGAGGGTGAAAAGAAGCCTAAAACCGGAAGCTGCTATTTGCAGCTTCCCAAAAACAGCTGCGGCTTCCCAAACCAAAAACACGGGTGAACAGTGTAGGTTTAATGAATTTTTCAATAATACAAAATTGCCCTCCTTCCTTATACAGTCTCTCCTCTCCGCCTCTCTCTCCTTCTCGCCTTCCTCCTTTCTTTCCTTCAGTCTACTCTCCTCTCGCATACCCGAACCAAGAAACCAGATCTCTCTCGTTCTCTCGTTCCAAAACCAGCGTTCTCCCTTGTTCTCTCGTTCTCCAGGTTGGTTTGGTAAGTTTCTCTTGTAAATTTTATTTATTTATTTGTTTGGATTTTTAACTTTGGGGATGGGAGAGGGAAAAAGGGGTGGGAAGAGCAAAGGGATGAGGGTATGGGTGTCGGGAAAAACAATTGGGGATGGAGGGTGGGGAAAAATTAATTGGGGAAGGTGATATGGGTGGGATGCTGAGTTCTTCAACCAGATGTCGGAGATGCTACACCAGTGTCTTCAACATAGGAGCTCGCGAGCGAGGGAAGTGTTGACCCACCATCACCTTGATAACCACACACAAGAAACACTCCCCGCCTGAAAAGTTACCTGCGATAAAACATGTACACTGTTATAGGATCTTTGTCACTCACAAAAGAGGGAAAATGTGATAGGTAGAAAATTTTGTTTTGTGGAAAAAAATAATTGGGAAAAAAATAATTGGGGAAAAATTAGGGTTTGTGGAGGAAACAAGAAAAATTGAGAAGGTCTGCTTCTGATTTGGGTTCAGGTAAAGGATAATTTTTTATAAAGCTTTGCTCTGGTTCTAATCTGTGAACTGTGCTTTTGATTTGTCATCCCTTTGTCAGTGTTCGTATCGTATCTCTCTGGAAGGAAGTGGGTTTCTTAGGACATCGCTGAGGCTGTACTCGAACAGGTGGATTATTTTTGTCTTGGTACAAAATTCGGTTTTCATGTTTTTGATAAATCTGTTTTGTGATTGCATTTAAATGGTATTTGGTTTATGTGTTTACGTATTAGTTTGCACTTGAAATGAGTTTTCTTTCAAGCATTTTGTAATTTTCGTGATTATATTCGATTAGTGGTACATATCCTCTCGTGAAACCTAGGGATTAAAGTAGAAGACCAAAACTTGAAAGAATGAAATTAGGGTAGCTGATTTCTGTTAAATTTGAGCATGGAGTGATTGAATGATTCAAAAACAAATTAAGCAGGAGTAAAGAGAGATAAAGAATGAAATAGGTAGAAGTGGTTAGGTGTTTGTTGGTTAGGATTAGATAAAGAATGAAATAGGTAGAAGTGGTTATATGTTCTGGTGTGTTCATCTTCTTTTCTTTTAGGTTTTTTGGTGTTTGTTGGTTTGGCTTTCAGCTCTTACTTGAAACAAGGTTTTTTCAGAGATTAGGATTAGATAGACTACTTGTTTCATTTCTCAGTCTTCTTGTCTACTAAAAAAATAATAATAGTCAAGTGAATATTTTTATCTTATTGATCATGTGAATTTTCATGTATTTTTATGGTTGATCTATGTGTTAATGAATTTTCATGTATTTTTATGGTTCATCGTGTGAATTATTCAAGTAGTCTATATCCAAAAGAAGCTTTATAAAATAACTGCAACAATTCATAAAAACAGCATTGTCAAAACATTGTCGCATACAAGGACCTTCTCCTTTTATAATAACGAGAGTACTTCCAAACTGACCAACCATCAACTATTTAAATTCATTATATTGAATAAATATCACGTAAGGAAACTGATTGTGCTTTAACAAATATCTTCTTTCTTTCAAACTTTTATCGGCACAAATCCACCTATCTTGTAACCGCATACTCTAAGAGAAGTTATGTCTATTTCTTTCAAACCATTTTGGAAATACTAACTGCTAAATGGTTTACCTCGTTGTGCCACAGTACTTCATTTCTGCAAGCTTCATTAATGCAACACTGAAAACACATCAAAAGCATGTATCAGAGATCTCCCTAAGATGGATTATTAAGAATATTAATGAACAGTATAAATCTGTGCAATTTTTATGTGTTAATGTATTTTCATGTATTTTTATGTGTTGGTAAACCTGTGGGGTATCCATATAAATATGTGCAATTTAATCCTGTGATTAATGGTCCGGTTTTTTTCCCAAACTGTGATGTAATATTTTGTAGTTGTATGTGGATCGTTTATTGGTTATTTCTTGGTTATATTACAAATCAGTAGTTGGTATCAATGGCAAAGAATGGGGCATCTTCTTCAAATCCTATTGCTACATGGAATGCCCACAATATATCTATATTTTGTGATATTTGCATCAAGGAGGTTGAGGCCGGACATCGTCCGGGCACTCACTTTGACAAAGATGGATATGCAAATATTAGAGCTAACTTCAAGGCAGAGACAGGGCATGATTATGAAAGAAAGCAACTGAAAAATAAGTGGGATGCACTTAAAAATGAGTGGAAGTTGTGGAAAGAGCTAGTTGGTAAAGAAACTGGCCTAGGGTGGAATTCGAGCAAGGGTACCGTTGATGCCTCTCAGGAGTGGTGGAATAATAAAATTCAGGTTTGTGTATTTATTTTTTAATATGTATATGATATCATGCAATATGGCTTAACCATATTCTTTCTTATTTGTAGATAAACAAAGAATATGGAAAATTCCGAAAAAAGGGCATTAGTCCTGAGATGGAGGACAAGTTAGATAGCATGTTCTCGAATACAGTTGCTACCGGTGAACATGCCTGGGCACCTTCCTCTGGAGTACTACCACCAGATACAAGAGATGAATCTATAGGACAAGTTGATTCAGATGATTCAGATGAAATTGAGACCATGCAGGATATAAGGCAAGCTAGTAGGAAGGGAAAAAAAGAGCGGCTAAGCAAGGAGAATTGCAAAACAAGAAAGGGAAAAAAATTGGAGGTGCTGCAAAACTTTGTGGTCAAATTGACCGTCTTGTTGAAGTTTATGAAACTAGGAGTTCTGCAAACTCATTGATGTCCAAACTGCATATAGGAAATAGTATTTCAGAAGTGTTAGCGACTGTTGCACAATTGCCTGGTTGTGAGTCACCTAACGAGTTATGGTTGTTTGCTACATGTTTATTTTGTAGCGCAGAGAAGCGAGAGGTGTTTGGCACGATAAAAGATCCTGAAGTCCAGCTAACTTGGTTGAAATATATGTTCAACAAAGAACAATAGGGAGCTAAAAGCCTAAAACTATGAATTAGGACTATATGTGTGGTTGTACTTTGCATTAAGATTATGTATTGAATGTTACTACATGTTTATTGAATGTTGGATTATATGTTGAATGTTGAATTATGATTTCTTGTTAAACGTTGGATTATGACTTGTTCTTGAATGTCGGAGTATGACTTCTTAGTGATTGTTGGATTATGACTTGTGGAATGTTGAATTATGTGTTAGGTTACAGGTGTATATTCAATATGAATACCTCTGATGATGATGTTCAGGATTTGGAGGATGGTGTAATTATATGAGCTGCAGCGAGAGCTGTTGAAACATATTATTTAAAATATGTCCACAAAACTCCGTGTATGAATTCTTCCCAAACAGGTAATATTTGGTTGATGGAAGTACTACAAGGAAATCATGTGCGATGCTATAGAATGTTTAGGATGAACAAAGATGTCTTTTATAGATTATCCAATGACTTGCAAACTAATTATGGGTTGAAAGGTTCAAGGAAAATGAATGCAATTGAAATATTAGGAATGTTCTTACATATGTTGGGACATGGTGTGAAAAATAGATTAGCTCAAGAGAGATTTCAACATTCTGGTGAGACTGTTTAGTAGATATTTTGGTGTTGTGTTTAGATATCGTATGTAAAGATGGCAATAGATATTATCAAACCGATGGATTCTGAGTTTCGTGGCATTCCCTAAGAAATAAGGAGAGATACAAGATACATGCCTTATTTTAAGGTAAATTTTGACTTGTCTTCTAACTTATTTGTAAACTATAAGTGTAGGTTGACGATTTTCTTCTATGTTATTATTTTTAGGATTGTATTGGTGCCATAGATGGAGTACATGTTGAGGCTTCAATACCACCTCCGGATCAAGTTCCATACATTGGTAGGAAAGGAATACCGACACAAAATGTTATGGCTGCATGTAATTTTGACATGCAATTCACATTTGCTTGTGCCGGATGGGAAGACACTGCACATGATACAAGGGTTTTTTTATGCGTGCTACGGAATCCAAATTTAAACTTTCCAAAGCCTCCAAATGGTAATCTTCATACTTATTTATAACAATTTACATGCTTGCTTTGTATAATTATTACAATACAAAACAAAATTTTCAATTTTCAGGAAAATATTACTTGGTAGATGCGGGGTACCCACAAATGAGAGGTTATTTGGGACCATATAAAGGTGAAAGATATCATCTCCCGGATTTTCGTAGGGGTCCCGAACCAACGGGTCATAAAGAGGTATTCAACCACATGCATTCTTCTCTAAGGAGCATCATTGAACGAACTTTTGGGGTATGGAAGAAAAGATGGGCAATTTTAAGGGATATGCCTAATTACCCGTTCAATAAGCAAGTGAAGATTGTCATTGCTACAATGGCTCTTCATAACTACATACGGAGGTATTCTGAAAGTGATCGTCATATTGATGACCCCATGGACTATTGTGAAGAGAGCGATAGTAGTGATGATGATGATGAAGAATACCAAAATTATCAAGTTGAAGGATCCCATGAGATAGAAGCATTAAGAAATAGAATAGCAGCAAGTTTGATGAATGCATCTAATTAGACTACTTTCAAGTACATTAACAATATTGTACTAATGAATCCTAGTTATTCAGTCTAAAATATTTCAATTGAAGTACTTTGTCATACTAATTAATATTTAAGATAAAGTTTATAAATATTTCTTTTTTAAAAATAAAGTATATTTAATAATTCACTTTTATTTGTTAAGAAAATTAAATTAATAGCGCATATAGTATTATACCCTTTTTTGTCATTTCACACAGTCACAGCTGTTTTACATAAAAGTTTACCAAGCACCTTTTTTTCCAAAAGCACTTTTACAAAAATGTTTACCAAACACTCTGCTGGCTTTATTCACAACCGCTTATTCTCACAGCAGCTTTTTTTCAAAGCACAGCAATACCAAACCAGCCCTAAATTTGATATTTGAATGGTGGTACAAAAATGGAGCTGCCAATGTCATATTATCTTTCTAATTGATGATCGCTCCCATGCTGTCTGTTCTTCAATTGTCACAATTAACTTGGACAACGTGGGCTTGAATGTTCAATTGAGTGGTGGACCAATGATAATTTTGGGTAAATTTGCATATTCAATATAGACTTTGATTTGACAAATTTGAAAAAATAATCAAAATTTAAATCTAAAATTATAGCCACTCTTTCCTTTTTGGAAAAAGGCGGAATTATAACAAAAAATTTATTTGAAAATACTAATATAACCTTAATACTCTTAATAACAAAAGAAAACTAGGGTTTGAAAACTTTGAGTTTTAATGATAAGAATAAAATAAAGGATAAAGTGAATAGTACCAGGATTGACTTTTTAGTGTAAAAATGTGGTTTTTCGTTAAAGTGAACGTTACCGGTGCTTTTCGTTAAAGTTCCCAAATAACAACTCTGAACTTCTCTCCTCTCGTCTCCTGCAAAATGGTTATGGCTTCTTCGGCAACTTCCAATCTATTCAAGACCATATCAATGGCAGACGCATGCCTAGTCTACCTCCCTTACCTCTCTGCCGCCAAACCACCAACCCATTTCTCTCAATTCTCTCCAAACCCATAAAGCTCCACCTCTCCTACACTCCCTCTTCGCTCTTCTTGTCGCAGCGGTCCCTTTGGAACAAAACCCACTTCCGTTGTCGCTTTCGTTGCCCAGACCTCGGACTGGGTTCAAAGCTATTTGAGAGGCTGGAACTGTCGAGGTTGCTCACGTGAGGCTTTGAATTTCTTTGGATTTGTTTTGTTAAAAGCTTTAGTCATGAAGGGCATTTTCGTATTTTCATATTATTTTTTTTCTAGTCATAAATTTAAAATGATGATTATAATTCAATATGTAGTTCAATTTTTGATTATTTTTCTAAATTTCCTTGGCAAATAGGAGATTAGGATGTGATGATGGACTTATGGTTCATGGTCGGGAATATACCAACTTAGAAGACATTTATTTGATCGTATGGTATGCATGTTGTTCGCTTCAGAGTTCAGATGTGCCCTTGACATTGAGCCACATCAGTGGCGAATCTAAGATCGAACACGGAGAGTTTCAGTATTAAATATTTAAGTTTTTTATAATAGAAACATAATGCAAAGAGCACATAAAAATTTTCATTCACTAAGGCATTTTGTTGAACATTTTGTGGGCTTATTATTATCAATCGAATCATGTTGTGTACATGTCAACATATATCGGCATATACTGAAGCAATTTAATAAGTGTCATCTAGAGAATTTGTCAAGTGCACTCGACGGAACCTATTGAATACTACCGAGATATGTCTAGCACATTACATCAAACATTTGATAGGCACAAAAAGAATTCATACCAATAGTCAAAAGTCCACAAAAACACCATCACATGTGTATCCCGAGGCTCGGTGTGGTAGTCCAATGTAATTGACTAATTTGTGGACTTAAGGTTTTCATATGAATTGGAAAATAAGATTTCCACTACAGACTTGTTGCAAAAAACCTACAGGCTACAGAGCACATAGACCAAAGAAACCAAAATATATAAATAAATAAATAAAAAATAATAGTCACTCAGTACTATGGTCTGTTGATATTTTTTTTTACTTAGAAATGAGAGGTCTTAAATTTGAATCCCATGGATAACGAAATTAGGTTATCTATTATATGACTTAGTCGAATTCTCATCCTCTTTAGTGTAAAAACATTTATGCACTTAAAAAAATAAAATAATAATAATAGTTGTGAAAGCGACACCACGACGCTCCCCATGTTCACGCGTCCTGATGCCGTTGATTTCCATTTCGTCTGGTTCATTAGCACCAAGCACCGCCGCGATGGGGTCCCACCGCGCAGATTATTAGCCTCTCTGCCATTATGCCCCATCAAGATCAAGGTTCCTCTCATGCTAAGCTGTCCTAATAATTTCCAACCATATGTTGTGGTTTTTCAGTTAATAATTATGTTTATTGCAAATAAAAAAGGGCAATTTTTACCCAAAAAAAAAACAAAAAACATATAATAACTAGCCTTATTTCATTAAGTGTGGCCAACTGTATGAATATTAAAATGTCATTAGCTCCAGGTCATATTTTCTTTTATAGTTTCTTTCCAAGCCTTCTTAGGCCGTCTTCCACGATTTTGGTCTTGAGTTTTCGTCTCATAGTCGCATATTCTAACCGAAGCATCTGAAGGTTTTCAGTGCACGTGTCCAAACCAACTTAACCGATTTTATCTCATCTTATATTTAATTATTGTCAATCTTACTTTATCTCGAATATCCTCGTTCTTACTTCTGTTCTTTATTGTGTTCCCACACAACCAATGGAGCATTTTCATTTTCGCTACCCTCCTTTTTTTTTTAACCGAAAAAACAAAAATAAAAATAACGTAGAAGGAAGCTTAATGGAGGCAATGACACAAAGTGCCTTCTTTTCTAACAAAACTTTGGTAAAGAGAGTGTAAAGTTTAAAATCATTGCAACTTTTTTGAAGAAATCTTTTTTTCTTCTTTCTTCGTTAAAGGCTTGAAGCCTAAGGAAAGTTTAAAGTGGTGGAGATTGCATTATAATCCTACATATCGTATATTGTTTTAGTTTATTGTACATGTCAATGTATATAATCATACATAAAAGCAGAATGTCATCATATGTAATGACGTATCCCAATTACATCAGCTAAGAAATTGATTTCTCTAAAGGTAAGTTTCCAAGAAAACATGTGTAAAAGACGAGGCAATTCATCGAATATATTCAATAATTGCCTTTAGTTTAAA